TGAACTTCTGCTTTGTTATGTTACGTTTCTTTCTGATTATTGAGAATCTGTGTGTTTAAGTGCTTGAGGTGGCATTAGTTCTCAAAACTATGGTATTTAGTTGCATTCCTGTGTGTCCAAAGGCAAGCTCAGCTAAAGAGGACGACGAGGAGCTTGGCAATGTCACCACTGAAATTCATCAAGCAGGGCCAAACGGTGGACAGGTCAACAGCCCTGTATTTGCAGGCATCCAACCCCACTACAGATATTCTTTCATGGACTATTTCCTAAAATACTTCCTCATCATATCCAATCTGGGGTTCACAGTTCTGGGCCTGGTGGTTCTTGTTCTGGGGATGTGGGGCCTCATCAGCAAGCAGTCGTTTGCTCAGGAGAAGATCGGCAGCATCGGCACTGACCCGATGCTGATATTTTTGACTCTGGGCTTCGTGCTGACCATGCTCTGCCTGTCAGGCTGTGTGGGCGCCTTAAGAGAGAACTGCACTTTACTGAAGCTGTTCTCTTTTGTGGTGCTGGCCCTCATCACAGCCCAGGTGCTGACCGCCATCGTGGCCTACAGTCTACAAGATCAGGTTGGAGGCTACCTGCGGTCAGGGATGTTAGCTGCCATGGTTCGCTACCAGGACGATCTGGACCTGAGGTTCATAACGGACGAGATTCAGTCCAATCTGCAGTGCTGTGGGGCAGATAACTACCGTGACTGGGAGCTCAACATGTGAGTAGCAGGCGACTAACTTGGATGTATTTATATTTCATCATGAATGCCTTGAAAGTTATTGGATATAATTTCCTTTCCTCAGATATTACAACTGCTCAGCTCCAGGGGTGCTGGCCTGTGGCGTCCCCGCGACATGCTGTGTGGACCCTCTGGAGAACGGAACAGTGTGGAACTCTCAGTGTGGTTTGGGAGCCCAGCTGCTGGATGAGTTTAGTGCTCAGAGTGTGATCTTCCTGGGCGGCTGTCTGGGAGGAATCTCTCGCTGGATCGAGCAGCACGAGGGCCTGATCGGGACAGTCGGAGTAGTCGTACTGGGGGTCCAGATTCTGACTCTGTTTATCAGCACACGACTGTTAGAGAGCATCCAGTGGCATAAAGTTTACACATAACATGGGATGGTGAATATATCCATCCATCATCTTCTGCTTATTCAGATTTGTGAAAGTGTGCAAAGTGCTTTATTTAGCTGGTGAAAATTCATGTTTTGATTAATTAAGAAAAAGAATCTATCAAAAGTATCGAAATTTGTGATCTTTACATTTAGGGATTTGGACAGAGCTAGGCTAGCTATTGGCCTCTGTTTTGTTGTGCTAAGCTAACTGTCTTCCTATTTACCACATAAACATGAGAGTGGTATCATTCTTCTCATCTAACTCTGTATTACAAAATGTCAAACTATTCCTTTAAGTTCCAGCAAATTGCACAGGATATTAAATGCTAAATTCATGGGAACAGAAAGAGATTCAATGGACCCTGAATTACTTTACTGTTCAAATGATATTGTGGTTCAGATATGCTACTTGTTCTTAAAGGGACAAATAAAGCATCATCATGGGAGTGATATTTCAAACAGAGTGGCAAGACTTAATAACACGCTAAGTTTGGCAAAGAGGGGAAAAAAGAAAAAAGAGGAAATCTTTTTAAAAACCCAACCTTTATTCCGAGTTTGACTAAACATCATGCCGAACAATTGCACAGAAACTCCGTCTTCAAAGTTAGTTACCGCGCTTCTTGTTACAGCTCCCACTGCAACCTCAGGCAGTGACACGAGGACACATCCAGCATCAGACATTCCAACGGCAGCTTGAGAGTCTCAAATTCCTCAGCCAAGAGACTCAGATGTTACCATACTGAGCCAGTTCATGTAGCTCTAGATGGCTGTAGGCTTCCCACGGGTAGATTACAGTGATGTCTAAAGAAGCAAGAACAAATAGAGAGTAAGATATGGGAACAGTGGTGATGTTGTTTGGGTGCAGTGGCCTACAGGAACTGTGATACTCCTGCTTACCAGTGCCAAGCCCTTCCAGGATCTCCCCTCCAAAGCTGAGGTGAGAGAAAAGAAATCAGTTTTATTGTGGAGAAACTTATAAAAGACAAACGTTCTGGATGACGCTCATGAATATGTAGGCCTACCAAATGACGCCCCTCTTCGGAGGCTTGCTCTTGAACTGGCCACTGTTCCTCTGTTTGAATTTGGGTGGGCCAGATGCAGTGCCGGTGACTCTGAGGGGAGCTTCAGGTTTGGCCACATCCAAATTCATACTTTTGTTGTTTAAGCTGTCATTAAAAGTGAAGTAAAAGCAGGTCAATTTAAATATTTCTTTGTTAATCATGCCAAATTTAAAGACATTGCATTCAAGACAAATATCCGCTTCCACCGTTCTGCAATTTGCTTTTACTCGAGACAAACGGATTTGAAATGAATTGTCCTGCTGTGATTACAAACACATCTTCATAGCTTCCTATTTGAAGAAATATAGTCAATAAAGGCTCCTGTAATCCCACAGATGAACCCTCCACAATGCCTTGAAACTAGACAGCAGCTTCGTAATCAGATTACTGTGAGGACATGCTGGATTTGCTTGTGGTCCTAACCAGACACTAGCTCATTAAGTATTCCGATTGTCTGCCCCTGAAAGGAAACTTTACAAAACTGCAATGTTATTAACAGGAAATAAAATTATCTTATGTGATGTTTTAGATACTGCTGGGAATTGTGGGAAAAATTGAGTTTGTACATTTATAAAGCAAAATAACTAAATACAATATGAGGCAAATTGTTATACATAGTAAACAAGGCTAATATTACATATGATCATTTGAGAATGGGCCAAGAAAGCACTTGTGCATCGAAATCCTTCTGCAGCTCAAAATCATTGTCTAAATAATGTACTTTATATTCACGTCTTGTGTCTGTGTGTCTGTTGGTCGTGTCTTAGAGATGCAGGGCTGTTGTTGCATGATGAGTTGTTTTTAGTGAAGCCCTTTTATACTCCTCAGACTCTGAGAAGATTATGATGCTACCAACCAATAAACTACCGGCCCGTCATCACTTGTGCACACACACACATACCGGTAGGTCTTTCATGTTGTAAACCGAACGGTTCATTTATTAGGGGATTGGCTGACAGGCATTTTAGGGGATGTCCCTGCTGCTGAGGCTGACCTGGACAGACACATGACAGTGGGAGACAAATGCAGATGTTTTTAGGATAATAATAATGACGTGTGTCCATCAGGAGTAATTTGCAAATATACTGTGGGATTTTCTCAGATGACATCTCCCCTCCACCTGCATTATTATGCACCTGATAACATATAGCTTGAATGGCGAAAGCATTCTCTAAGATTGAGTTGCATTATGTCTCACTGGTAATCCCCCTCCCCCACACACACACCTCCCACACATAAACACACCTAGTCCATTCATCTGATGGCTTACAACAGCTTCTCTCTGTAATCTACTCCATTCATACACATGCACGTGGGACACGTGCAGGGACACACACTCTCACTTCACACTGTCTCTCTCATAGGCTCACCAACTCACCCTGATAATCTGCACATAATCAGATTATGGCCATTAAAGGTGAGCTTTTGATGAGATCAGTTCAATTTTCTGGTTAATCCTCTTCTGAAAACCATATAGGCTCATAAGCGCTTATGCCTACAGAATCATGAATACTGGATGCCACATGGCTGATACATGATCAGGAGGATGCTGAACGAGCTACAACTAACTATGGTGCCAACAGCTGATTGGTTGTTTTTGATCAATTGTAAAATAATTTAATCTATGTATAATTATAAAAATAATATTTAAAAATGTCTATCACAGTTCCTGAAACAAGCGATGTCTCGAAAGTGACTAAGTACATGTAATCAAGTGCTACAAATTTGGGTGCCTTACACTTTACCTTAGTATTTCCATTATATGTTACATTTACTTCACAACATTGAAAACTTCTAGGTCTCTGTAGTATTGTGTTAACAAACTGGAGTAACTCTGCCATCTAGTGGTGGCAGATAGAAATACAGCAACTAATCTAACCATTTGAAATGACGGCTCCAGCAAAGATCGTCTATTTACGTGAACTCGAGGAAACGCCTCGCGAGGAACAGAGGAAGCGACCCCGGCACCCGGAAAAACACAGAGTGAGACCTCTGTACTTCCGCTCTCCCACTGGCTGCTTTGAGGTTAAGGTTTGTAGGTTAAAGGTTACACACGCTGCTCCGCATGTGTTATTGTTTTTAAAGATAATTTGTAATCCATTGAAATAAAGGGCAGTGACATGGGGAAGAATAAGAAGAACAAAACTAACGAGTCAGGAAAACAAGTGGGCGAGTCCGGTCAACGTCCAAGGTAACGCTAGGAAGCTAATGTGTAACAGAAACGCTGCTAGCTAGCTCCACCAGCTAACGTTAGCTGTTATTAGCTAACGTCATTAGCTTCATATTTTAAAAAGAGATTCAACTTGTCAGAATAATCCTCGTAGTCAACGCTAATGAGGACACGTACCTGCATTGTGTATGGCTTTCATAGGCTGACTTTAATGACTGTTGAATACTCTCTGAACTGTGTTGTATTTATACTTCGTACAGTGAAACTTGGTGCATCCATTGCACACTTTTGCACATTTCTGCGCAAAACTGACACCTCTAAAAACTGCTCAGCCTTCCACTTTGAATTGTGATATACTTTACATTTTTTTTTTACAATTATTTTCTGTTTTTATTGTATTTTTTCTTCTATTCTATATCTTTGATTTTTGCAATACTTACTTTTATTTTTACTTTACTTTATATTGCAAATTCCTTGTATGTGAAAACTTTATTAAACCTGATTGTGTGTTAACAGTGACAAGAAGCTCAAACAGAGAGATGGTAAACCCAAGAAAGCCAAACCGGATCACATGGAGCACATCCCCTTTAAGCTGCGTGAGATAATGAAAAGCAAGGAGAGAATGAAAACGGGATCCTTAAAAACCAAAAAGCTAAAAGAAGGTGAGCAGAACAGCTTATTTAACGTTACACTGTGTGATCCATACAGTCATTTATAATTAGCGAGGAACTTGTTTCCATCTCTCTCTAGCCATCTCCCCTAAAGGTAAACCAGAGGATTCGGAGACTGGAGACATACCTGTCCCACATTTCAAGAGGGGAAAGGCGGAAAGTGTAAAAGCATATCTGCGGCGCATGGACAATGAGACCAAACACGTCCTCTTCCTCACCAAGAACCAAGTAGACAGAAAGCCTGAGTTGGATGACGACAAACAAGAGGGATCTGCAGACAAGGGCAAGTCTGAGAAAAAGAAGGAGTGAGTACACCTTAACTTGTAATCAGCAAAGTCAGCTGATGACATGTATGTGTGCTAGTATGGGCCGACGGAGTCAGTTATACGCTATCCTGCTGCTCATGTTTCTAATTGTGTGCGTAGGCGATTTGTTGGTTTCATTCCTGGCTGATACATGTATCGTGTTATTTGATCTTTGCTACAGGTATGATCAACTCAGATTAGTGAAGCTACACCAGAAAAAGTTGAACAGACAACTGGCCCAGATGGAGAAAGATATGTTCGTAGGTAAGGAACGTGAGGGAGCAGCTCTGTCCTCCTATAATTCAGTACAAGATGCACCGGACAAAGTTGAGGTGCATTTAAGATCATCAGGAGGTAGGAGTGTTTCCTAAAAATCTAACAGACCATTTGGCTTTATGCTCTTCAAGTTTATAGCCTTTCCCGCAGGGGCAGAAGGATATATTCTAGAAGGGATAGTTCCTTATAGGTAATAGGTACTTATCCAGCCTCCATGGCTTGTTTATGTTACTGTGTGGCTTTGGTGAATTCAAACTAACCAAAGTCCCACAATAACACATACAAACTAACTGATCGAGGCAACAGCAGACCAGGAAGCATGTCTTTGCTGCCGTGCTGATACTCCTGACTGTTTATCCAAACAGGGGGAGCTTGCTGACCACCGTCTAATACACTGACCATGGATAAGTACCTCATACAAAACACCCAAACTATCCCCTTAAGCCAATTAGAAGCCAGTTATCTTGGTTCTTAACAGCAGCATTTTGAACGTGCTGTAGCTATTTATTCTAGTCCTTTGGGGAAAGTCAAACAAGACGCCACTCTGCTGAAGAGGAAGGCGTAAACATCTTGTATGGACAGCTAATGATTTTTGTTAATGTTTAGTGTACGTCCCTGAAATCAAGATGAGAAGTAACTAGCTAATTATTTCCGTGGAAAGTTTATTTAAAGCTGTAGTATATTTTTTTTGTATAAAAGATTGATGACTTCATATATGTGAGGGGGTTGTTGATAGTGAGCAAATATCACCCGACACTGCAGTTATGCTCAGCTCTACTGAGCTTATTGTGTCAGTTTTCCAGCCCACCAATCTTCAAAACCCACTGCATGCTTACTGCACAGCACCAAACAGCAGAGCTAAAATTAGCAGCTAGCTGGAGCATTTAGTAGCTACGGTGCCAGATATTTACCGTAGAACTTGGTGTAGAGCAGAGCAGAGCTACGAGGAGAGTGAATTATTGGTCTTAGATTCCTCAGGTGTGTCTGTTGGATTTGTAGATAAGCGTCTAAAATATCCGAAACATCCATTAATGCTTTAATCAATTCATCTTTTTTTCCATATATACATTATATACTCTATGAGAGAAATGGATACTCTTGTCAAAGCAGAATAAGATGTAGAACTCATTTGTATACTGATATGATTGACTGATGCGTTTGTTTTGTAGATGATGTTCCCTTTGGTGAAGTTTCAATGGCCCCGCCGTGTTTGAGTGCCAAACCCAGGAAAGCTCCGGTCAAGCCCAAGGTAACCTGCTAAGTCATCAAATGTCACGACGCTGCTCTTCACGCTTGAATAAGAGGTGTAAACGGCGTTGGTTTTTTTTTTTCTCCTCTCCCATCTCCAGAAGGAGCTGCTTCTCAACTCTCTCCTTGGCCACACGGTGGTCTCCACAACCAAGCCCTCCATGGCCAGACGGAGAATCATGGAGGAGGAGAGGGTGCGAGTAGTGGAGGCGTACCGTCTTCTTAAGAAACAGAAACAGAAAGAGTACGAGTCCAGGACAGCCAATCTGGAAAAACTGAAGAACCCCAAGTGATGTTTCATGTCAAGGAGATAGAAGTCCCCCCCGACTTCAGGCACCACTGAAGCTCAGACACTGACACGGATCGAGAGATAACCGTCGACAGACTCTTTGTGTTGTGTAACTTTGGAACTGCCCAGAGCTTATCACAGCGCAGCTGTCGGGGGAGGGGAAGAAGCAAACATTCACGTCCACTGCCCACAGTACGAGGTCAGCAGGGATCAACATTCACCTGCAACGCTCAGTGTTGCACGTTTAGCTCAAAATAGAAAAGGACGTTTAAATTGTTAATGCCTGTTTGTTTTTATAAGAAGATAAACTGATCAGCCCTAAATAAATACATCCAGACACGTAACTTTGTTGAATTCTCACCCCTGTATTTGTGTCAGATGTTCAGTTGTATTCGCACTGTCTTTTTGTATTTACATCTTTAGGTAGCCAAAATGACATCATTTGTCAATAGACAATGACTTCATAAAGGCCACGTCAAGGCAAAGATGAACCGTTAACTGTTTGCTGTGGTCCCACTAGATGGCAGTCCGCCTGCAGAAAGCTGGTTTCACGTTGTTTGTATGGAGAGCTGACAGATTATGCAAAACTTTAAAGTGAAAAATGTATTTTGAATGGCAAATCATGCCTAATTATAAATATGAATGCATGGCAGTAGACCTATAATACTTCCAAACCTTTTCTCTAGTTGTACCCACCCTGAGAGCCTGAATCCTGGGATGAATAAATCCCAGCAGGCTTTTTAAATACGGAGCGCCTATTGGAGCCTGGTACAGCTATTTACGTTTGTAATCCGTGAAAAGGTTTACCCTCATGAACAAGGCCTGTGTTTGAACATTGTTCTCTGGGACAAACTGCAAATTCAGATTATGTTTGTTGAACAACTTCATCTTTTCAAAGCGTCGATCTCAAAGCAAACGTTACACTGGTATTTAGTTTTTGTTGCAATATTGATGTACGGAATAACAACACCAGATGGTTTTACCAATTATTGAATCCCTGTTGTCGGGTAGACGGGTTCACAGTCATTTCTGTTTGATCAGTTTTTTTTTTTTCTTTCTTTTTTTTTTTTCTTTTTTTTTTGGGTCTGTGTTTGTCCACTGAGGGTTGTCACAGTGACATGGAAAACACATTAAGTGGGGACAGCTGCTTGTGATTGGTGGTGCTGAGCTCAACCACCATTGGTCATTTACCCCGGTGTCCATGTGCACAAGACGGCTATCCGCATTATCAAGGGATTTACGGTTGCTTCCTGTCAGAGAAAGATGCTGTTTGTTTTAGTTTTTTTATTTCAGCTCAAGTCACTGATCAGGAGTTAACATTCAATACACTTTAAATAAAGACATTGTCAAGGTTTAATGTATGCGTTTATTTACCAGTGGCCCCTTAGTGAGATGCATCGGTAAGATGTCGTTGGAAATGCAAAGAAAACATTCCATGCAATGTTTGAATGCTGTCTTGTTTACATTTGGATACATTTTCCCTGCTGTATGTTCACCGTGAGGTTGTTTGACAAGACTGTGCTGCTTCTTTTTTTTTTTTTTTTTTTTTTTTTGGCAGCTCTTTGCATTGTTATATCTACAAGCAGTGGAGTCGAGCAGGTGCACCCATAAGGCGTTGCAGAGTAAAATTGAGACGTTTGTGTTCTGTTGTGTATACCGCTAATTGGCCTGATTTCCAGTTTGTGAGCAATTTAATTTCCGAGCAAGTACTCGTGGCTGCTGACGGCAGAGGATGGTGGGAGTAATTGGGGGGAGAGCCTACTCAGCCTGCTGCTAGGCAGCCACAGCTCACTCTGAAGCTCCTAAAGTACGTGTGTGTGTGTGTGTGTGTGTGTGTGTGTGCATAATGGTTCCTCTTATTACTCGTAAGTCAAAGCTAATGTGTCCCTCTAACAATAATGTTGGGATGGTGCTCGCAGTGTGCTTATGTGCAGCTTCCTATGTAACCAGCATGTGTGCAGGGAAGGCTCCTGGCAGCCTGTCACTACTTCTGCTGTCAGACAATGCAGTTTTTATGAGATTGTCCATCAAATTGTATATTGTAATGCCCCAAACTCAAAATGGAGGAGCATCCACTCACTATTACACTCAGATTTTATTCAGTGCCTAGAATAGTTGTATTTATTGTCCAGCAGTGTACACACAGCCACTACAGTGTGATAACCATCACCTGCGCCAGGTGAAGCAGTTAAATCTTATCAAGCAAACTATGTAAATAACTTATGTGAAGATAGTGTGTACCTTGTGATACTTCCTCTTACATTGTGCCTCGTCTGCCTATACTCGACAATTGTTACCTGTTACAATCCAAAGACCCAACAGCCAAATGGTATGTATGTAACCTATTATAGGTTTAATAAGTTAAGAATGTACACTTTTATATAAAATTGTAATTTTTATAAATTCAAGGCACTAAACAAATCATAGGAAGTCTGAATCAACATGATGTCACAAGTTAACAAGTAAGTATTGTTTACAACAGATTAGCGAATTACAGTCAGTCGATTTGTGACAAGAGAAAGCATTATATTGGTGAGAACACAACAACTTCCAGTGTTTGTGAATTAAAACGTGTATCAGCTCAATTATAGACCTTTCCTTTGCTTTAAATGCAGTGCACCTAGGAGCAAAGGATGCTACATTACATTTGTTACAAGGAATTGCGAGGGGAGAACAAACCCCTGGTGGAGGTGTCAAAGCTGCAACGACAGACAGCGCTAAGAGCCCCTTGACTCACGCTGCCTGCTTGTGACGGCCCTTAAGGCAGCGAGGACTCGGCTAAACGAGGCAGGGAGCTGCCACTTCCTCGATTCCAAAAGGGGTCTCGAGCTCGAGGCATGGCGTCTTGGTCCATCTGTAGAAACGCACACAGAGAGAAGGGATTGTTTCAGCAGACGCAACAGAAGAGGATGTTCTGTGGCGTAAAATATTTTGAACTCGCTCACCTTGGTCAGACCCTTGGCGATCAGGGCTAATTCTGTGGGCTGGTACACACAACTCCGTAGCTGACCATTATAAGCACCATATGGAGACACTGGCTTTGTGGGTACTGGTAAAAGAAAAAAGGCGGAGGAGGATTGAAAAATAAAAGTTTGTTGCGATGGTCATCCAGTCCATTACTTTGTGTCTGTAGACTTAACACAACATCCACATTAAAACACTAAAGTCTCCGTAGCAACAAGCATTTGCTCAAACGGACCCATTAAGTGATTCAATATTTGCTACATCTGTGAGGATAAATCAGATGCCTCGCACAAGTTGGATTTTGTCAAACTTTAAAGGCACCCTTTCGTATATTCTGTACGACTGTTTGCACAAAAGGTGAATGCCCAAAGCATGTGTGCGTTAATTGATCATTTAATTGGAGTGCTGTCCTGCTGACTTATTTAGATTTTTGATTCTGATGATTCAGCACCTATCTATACATAATGTAGTTGAGCACAATGAGGCACTGTCAATGTAAGGTTAATGTTGAACCGCTATGTGTCATGCTGTACCTGTTGGAGGCTCGTCCATAGTGAAGGCTTTATTCTCCATGTAGATGTTCTGGTGGAGTGGCTCCGGCTCCTTAAGGATGTCGTCATAAACCAGGCTCCTGGCGGGGTAAACGTGATCTCCATCGATAGGCAGCTCCTGGTCAGGGTCCTCCTGGGTCAGTAAGCAGATTTCTGGCATGGCGTAGAGGATGAGGAACACCCAGGCATTTGACACCACAGCGATAGCCAGAGTGGGATCGTCCCAGCTGGGATTCCCGACCACTCTGTTCCCATGGATGTACATGACGATCCAAGCTACCCAGATAGCCAAGGTGAAGAGCCCCGAGACCAGGATGAAGGCTCCATCTCGCCGCCACTGCTTGTGCTTGTGGGTCAGTGAGGGCACAGCCATCAGCACCACAGCTAGCAGCAGAACCATCACATAGATCAGCGCCATCACAAAGTCCTGGTTAGCGATGCTGCAGGACAGGTCAGAGATAATGACACCTCTGAGTGGGCTCCTGGCCACAGTGATGATGAGCCACTCGGTGTTGATGATCACCTCGACCATCCACAGACCCAGGGCCCCCAGGCATAACATCCAGCTCCTGGGCCCCCGGTCCCTCCGCTCCAGCAGGGCGAGCCACAACCCGTGCATCACCAGGCAGGCTAGACAGCCCGAGAACAGTACTCCAAAGAGGAACCTCCGTGCAACACAGCTGGTTGAGTACCGACCCACAATGAAGGCAAAGGTGAGTCCAAAGAGTCCCAGCGTGAAGACCAGAATGCCGGCCTGCAGGGCCACCATACCCTTCCTCTTCTTGTGTGTCACAAACGGTAAGCTGGCCATGAGGATGACCAACAGAACAAAGGAAGTCACCACACCAGCAGCAGCAACGGCCTCCACCACGACCCCCCACACTGCAGTCAGGTCACACAGGTTGTAATATATGGAGCTGATACCGGAACCACATCCCTTTGGAACAATGGTGGGTTCCATGGCTTCACAGCAGATTCTAAAATAAAGTGCTGTCACAAGAAAATGCAGATTATTAAACATGCATGGAAAGACAACCAAAAGATGCTTCCGTATTATCACTCTGTCACAGTAAACAAACTTTCATCTATGTACAAAGCCAGTTGTGGAGTTTCACTGTGTTGTACTAAAATTGCTGTCCATTGAAATAAATTCAATCGAGTGTCTGAGAATCCAAAACTTAGAGCCATTTGTCTCCCCTGTCTTTAATTATGACCTGGAACCTTGTTGTTGGATAATAAAAGCTGTCTGGCCATCTAATTTACAGAGGCATAATTTTAACATTAACATACAGGACACATAATGAGTATTATTACACAAACAGCATCCCACAGTCTAATTTAAAGGAAAAATTCAACTTTAATTCGAATAATTATTCCACTGTCAATGTAATAATATTTTCCTCATGTAGCATCCAAAAATATACACTTACATGCATCAGTTTAGCCTAAAACTGATCAAAGGACATTGTCAATGCTATCTCCAAATTTGGTGATTTTGAAGTTTTGAGGCAAACTGAGATACTAAATGCTCCTGTATTGAGAAAATCAAATTGGATTATGTTTCATGAAGCTAAAACCTTTTTATTAAATCATGAAAAGTTGACATTTTGGCGAATATTCATCTTGTAATACATGCATTTTTCAAGCTAAAAGCATTGTGATAAAGTTCTAACCTCATACAACAACATAAAGTAATATTACAAGCCTCGACTTCTTACCTGGACTGATGACGGAGAGCAGTTCCGCTCCAACAGGTGACTCAGGTAGATTTACTGCGGTAAGGATAATCCAACTTGTCTGAAATATTTCTCGAGTGTTAACAGGCTCCACGTGGATGTTCTGAGCGTTCAAATGTTCCCTTAGTTGATGCACAGGTTGTTGTTTTTTTCTTCGGGGCGGAATCAGTCCTCCATCATGCCCGCTCCTCCTCAGCTGTTACTGAACCATGTTAACAAACTCACCGGCAGTCGCATCCAAAGTAGGCTGGTTAAATTATCCTTCGAGTTATTTTTATTCTTCTGTGAATGTCCAACGACTCGATCAGCTCTGACCACTCTGTCTCTTCACCCAGCCTCTCGTGCAGCTTTGCATATTCTGTGAGATTATAGCTCCCGGCCTATTTATTTGTTCCATGCGGCTTAGATCCAAACAAAGGGACCACTCTCCTCTCAAGTCAGACATTGACATTTGTATACGTACTGTGGAACATATCATCCAGGTGACTGTGACCTGTTGATTTCAGACTCAACAGTGATTCATGGCTTTTACTGGTTGAGTAATTAGATCAGTTATGTGATTGTTCTTTAAAAGTACATATATACACTAAAAAAAAACCCTCCAGGGATCACGTCTGTCCGGATCGCACTGATCACTATAAGCTGTTAATTATTATAACCGCTTTTATTGGCTGTTTTAAAAAATACAGTAGGCGACAGCTGTTTCAAACGCTTTTCAAATTACTCTGCAAATTAAATGAGAGTGTGAATAATTCAAATACACTATAACACAGTGCAATACCGTTTTTAAAAACATGCTAGTTTACTGTATTAAAAGCTGCAGCCTAAGACAGCATTGGGCTGCTTAAATACAGTTGCACGGTTTCAGTGCATTTCTGAAAATAAACTGTGGGCCATAAATATCTGTGAACATAAAATACATCATTTTTTCCCATATGTTGTAATTTATGAAAAGACCAAAAACAATCACTGTAGGCAGACTACTTGTTTACTACAGCGCCAAGCAAACTATTTAAGCAGCATTTGTAAAGGAACGATTCTGTCCCAAGCTTTTTGAGTTGATCAATGTAACTGTGATCAAATAAGCGGTTTCCACTGTACTCTCAGTTTCATATAGGGAAAAGGCCAACATACAGTTGTTCAAGTTAAGAATAATTCAACTCTAATTTATGCCATTTAGAGCACATTCAATGATGAAATGAATATGTTATGCATAAACAACATGCATCTTGAGAAATCTAATCACACTTGAGTCTACTTTCTCTTTTTAAGGATAAGTACTTCAGGGCAGTCATCATGAGCCTCCAGTTTGCAGAGCCACCTGGTGGAAAATATTGTTACAGGAGAGATGGACTCCTGTGTTACATAATCAAATGAGACTACAGAACAAAACATATTCTGTTATTGATCTCTTGTAGGCCATGCCACTTAACAACCATTTGACAAATAGAAACATTGACCAATGTCATTGATTTAAAGCTTTTAAATTGTCTCCAGTCAGAAAAATTTAGAAATTTGCTGAAATACTGTGAAAGATATGACATATATGACAGTCCATTTGCTTGTTTGCCTCGATTTGGTAAATATTTAAAATCACAAAACTTCTGTTGTCATCTCTCTTCCTCATTTAGTTATGAAACTTGCGGTTAGGAAAAGACCTGTGTCACAAAAAATAGCCCGAATAATACATTAACAACAGTGAATTAGCTGCCTCGGAAGCTCAGACATGCTTGGAAATATCCGTGTGAGAGCTCACAACAGAAAGCAGTTTATTACACACATTTACATGTGTTTTATTCATTTTGTTGTTCTTTTTATTCATTAGACAATTGACGAACATGTATTGTATATCAAAAGTCCTTTGTGTCATCTTTGGGGACCTAGTTGTGTAGTGCATCCCCTCCGGGTTCAGCACAAGAGTAAGGTCATCCGGGACACCTTGCTGAAGCTCACTCTGGCATACAGCCTGTACTAAACGTACTGTTTATACTGCATGATGGGAGCCCCCTGTGGTGCATCGATCCCTCAATGGATCCCGTCCCGAGGGGTGCTCTCACAGTTTGTCAATCCACCCCTCTGCTGTGTGGTCCTGTTTGCAGATTCTTAAATAGGAGCTGATCTCAAAGGAGAGAGCAATGTCACCTTAATGAAGGGCATGCCCTTTTCAGAGGCACACATAAAGAGGGCTTTGGGTTTTTTTCTGATTTCATTATGTGGCTCAACGGCAGTTGCCTGAATTGTGTATACAGCTATACTCTGAGCTGTGAACCAATCTAAACTCGATATATAAGTATATGTTTATAGAATACAGTGTTGACCAATAATTTCACGCGCAAGTCTCAGTATTTGCATCGATATAGATTTATAGCATTCATATAAAGCTCGTGAATCTCATTTTGTGTGCATCTTCATCAACCTCCAGAAAGTAAAAGAAATAAAAGATGCCACCCTATACAGTGGGATCCAGTGCCTTGTCGTAGACTAGTCCATTTTGTGGCAGCAGGCTTCATTAAAGCACCTCAGCAGCACCGCTCTCCTCCGAGAACCTGTCAGGTTATTCATAGCAGGGACTCAGGTCGGGGTCTCGTAGGACGTCTCTTCTCCTGCATTTTTACTGCAGCCTGGCAGCCCTCGAGGCAACCCAGTTCACTCTGAAATGATGTCTCTCCATGTCCGTCTCCCTGTTGTGGGCATTGGTAGATTTGGAGCTATTTTGAACACATCTGTCACATTGCAGAATGTTAGCATGAATATTGTGATTGAACTAATGGCCTAGTCAGATGCAATGATTTTAAAAATATATATTTTAGATCCATACCGATCTCAAGTCCCTGTATTGACCGACCCATCTCTGACAGATCAATGCTGACTGAGGGATTCATAAATGGCACTGTAAACATCTCTTTGAGCCATGACCTGAGGCGATATCTATTGTTGCCATTTCACATTGAAGCATATTTCTTCATGATGTGCGGCTCTCTCGTGTCGTGCGGCTGTCGGGCTCACTTTGAGTCGTTATAGCATTGCGTATATTGATTATAGCTGTGAGGATAGTAAGTCCCCTGCAAGCGGCAGACCATTAACTCTGTATCAGACACATTCACTAAACCCTTTGCCCTCTGTGAGGTTTGTGATGCAACGTCTGCACCTTAATTATGTACTTTACCAGTAATGTGACTACATAAAATCCTGATTGGCAGTAGAATGTGATCAACAGAGCTTGTCTTTAATTGACGAACAGACCCAGCATCAATCAAATCATCCTTCCATTAGTGAGATTAACATGCCACCAGAGGAATAATCACTCTCAGATAAAAAACTCCTTACAAAATGGATTATGAAATTTGTCGAACTTATTAGAAGCTCAATTACTTTTGGCAGATAGTCTCAGTGGCAACCTCCTGTAATTAATTGACTCATTACATGACGCTGATTGTACTTAACTTAGATATCGCAAACAACGTTTTGCAGTCCAGAGATTCTGGGTGCCATTAAAACAGGAAACTATGTTACTATTGATTGTTAATAGCACATCACTTTTAACCTATAAAAAACAACAACATCAAGCTGAGTCTGCGGTTGGCCCCGTGCCAATGATCAATGCCATGTAACTTCCAAAAGGGAGGAATTCAAAATCAAAGCTGTCGCTATAGCAACGCCCCTGCCATGATTCCACCAATCAATGGAGTCCGTGGGGTTGCGAGATGCGCCAGGGAAAGGCCAGCGTCCTACATAAAGAGTGCGGGACAGGGAGCCGGGCAGGCACACACGGGGCAACAACACCTTTCTGCAAGCGCACGACCAAGGCAGAGCAGCAAGAGGAAGAAGTCCGGAGAAGAGTGGCACAGAGTTAGGAAGAGAGGGGGGGGAAAGGACAAGAGGAAGAGAGGCAAGGAATCACTGAGAAGATATGGTTCGCTCATGTGGACAAGGGATCCCTGCCTGGGTCTATGTGGGCACCCTGCTCCTCTTAATCCACTCTGTCACAGTTAGAGGAGGTAAGATTTCAAAAAGGAATCAGCACTTTCAACTGATTGCTTTCAAAGAGTCATATCACCTTTTGAATCTTTTTTTTTTCTGTGTTTTTTTTAATATCCTACATTGTGAGAGAAGCTGTGTTGTTCTATTTCAGTGCAGCTTCCCCCATACTGTCAGTGGGTAGTAGGGCACAGCATGAATGCGTGGCTCGTGCTCGGCCTCGGGGCAGGGGATGGGTATTTAATCTATTCTACTTATCCTGTCCTCATCTATCTGTCTGCTGGGTGCAGGGAAAGACAGGCAAGTCCATTTGCTGCCTGGCACTGTGCCGGCTCAGTAATACAGTACACAGTACAAGCGCAGAAGGAAAGCTTTTCTTGCTCCTTAAAGAAGATCCGACTTTGACTGATTTTGACCAAAGCTATTGAAGGCCACATTCCTGGGCTGTCAGATTGGATTCCGTTTGAAATTCCTCGTGAGCACAGACTCATCTAATACTGTATGAAGGGAATGTGTATAAAATGTTTTATTTAATGTTTTCAGCTGTTCTCAGCTTGAGTGGAAGATACAGCACAATGAAACATTCTTGTTCGTAACTTTTTTTTGTCTATGTTTTTTTTTCTTCAGAATTTATTGAAAAAAAAAGACGTACTGTTTCCACAGTTGTGAATAATTTGGCCATTTTTCAATTGGCTTCGGTGTGCCAGAACCATTTGTCAAAACACACCCTCACACCATGCTCAGCTGGCTCAGGGTGCTGGCTGGCTAATTGGAAAAAGGTTACTTTGAAGTGGGGGCGTTTGATTGTGGTACAGATATGAGGACTGAGACATTCCAGGGAGCCAATGTGCTCCCCCCTGTGTCTCATTAAACCCCCAGTAATAGGCGAACAATGCTGCCGATGGCTGCGGCAGAATGGAAACAACAGCTTGTCATGCTGAGTCTTTCATGTGTGATTCTCCAGTATGTGACTCTTGGTACTTGCACACAAGAAGGCCCATAGAAGCAGCCATCTGCAAATGGCGCTGCAAACTCAGGATTCTTCTCTGGGCGCCTTGTGTGGAGGTTTTCTGAGTCAGCCACCTGGCTTGTTAATTGAGACCAGAAGAATAGAATAATGTGCAAGTGTGCTTTGTTGTCCTGACACATATGAGTTGCGGTTTAGTCGATGAGTTAGGGAGTGCTTTTCCAGTTCTTGCTGTGTCAAATCTGATGTAAGAACGAAGCGCATCTTCAAATGAAATCTTGGAAAGCAGAGTCAGACTGATGCAAATTGCGGTGATAAAAATATGAAAGAATTTCATGTAATAATAATGTGTAAATCTATTTCTGAAAAAAAAAGAAGCTGAAACCGTAGCTGACACATTTCAATTTCGATGTATTTTTTTTTTTATCTGTGAAGTGCTACTAGTTCATCATCTTGCACTTTCTTCTCCACAGCTGCCCTGAAGCAGGAGGTGGCATTGGACAATGGGGCCACTGTGCTGAATCACTCCATGAGTTTGGTGCAGCGTATAGAGGCCCTGCTGGCCCTGGGGAACAGCAGTGATGTCACTCTCCGTTTGCAGACCATCAGCACGGACGAGGTGAAGGTGATCCAGGCCCACAGCCTGGTCCTCACGCTGCAGAGTGACGTGTTTGAGGAACTGCTGCTCAGTCGCAACGGCAGCGTTGTGGTTTTGAGGGAGACGCCCGACTGCGCAGCCGTCATGGACAAGTTTGTCAGGTGAGGGTGACTCCGGTTGTTATCGTTTGTTCAGAGTTAATCAGGTTCAATCAAATGGAACCACTCAAGAAACTGTGGAGCAACTTGTAGATGCTTTTTGTATTTTCCACAAGTATAAAGTTCTGCACCATTTTGCCTCTCCCTTTAGAGAAGTGAGATGCTCCATCTTGTGAAATATTCTAAATTTACACTTGCTGTTTGTGGCTCACAGTTGAAAATCGAACAGTGTGGGTTTATTCAGTGACTCAGATGTGAGGTGAGGAAACAGTAGTGTGCCTTATTGAGAGATATGTTGTATGTATATTTCTTTCAAATGTCTTTAGATGACTATTCAAGCCGTGTTTTTTTTCTTGCAGGTATCTGTACTGCGGTGACATCTCAGTACGGCTAGATCAGGCCATTTCTCTGCATAAGCTGGCCAGCAAGTATCATGTGTGGGGTTTGCAACAAGGTCTGACCCAGTATATGACCCAACATCTGTCTAGTGATTCACCCACCGGCCATGTGATTGGCTGGTACAACTATGCGTTACAAATTGGGGACATGGGCCTGCGGGACAGCTGCCTGCAGTACCTGTCCTGGAACCTGTCTTCTGTGGTGCAGAGCGAAGAATGGGGCTCCATCAGTGAGGTCCTGCTCCTCTCCTTGCTCAAGCGCTCTGACCTTATTCTGCAGAGTGAGCTGGAGCTCTTCGAGGCCCTGGAGGCCTGGATTAGCCAGAACCAGCCCGCCAGTTCGACGGTCGAAAGCGCCCTAAGGGCTGTTCGATATGGCATGATTCCCCCTCAGCACCTCTTCCGTCTTCAGAAGCAATCCCCCCTCCTGCAGAAGCATTACGAGTCTATCCGTGATCTACTCTACCTAGCTTTCCAATTTCACTCAGCCTCACCTATACAACTGGCCAAGTACTTTGATGTCAACTGCAGTATTTTCACTCCCCGTAACTATCTGTCCACCTCCTGGGGTTCCCCTTGGGTCATCAATAACCCCACCCGTGATGACCGTAGTTTCAGCTTCCAGACCCAGCTCGGGCCCAGCGGCCATGACTCCAGTAAGAGGGTGACCTGGAATGCCCTTTTCTCCCCTCGCTGGCTCCCCCTCAGCGCTAGGTCAACCTATACCGAGCTGGGTGCCATGCAGCCTACACGCACAGATGGAGGTCGACCCCGCATCATTGTAACACCAGCCACCTCTAGTCCAGACTTTGCCGGTGTGAGTTTCCAGAAGACGGTGATCGTGATGGCAAGACAGCAAGGAAAAGTGGTGGTTCGCCACGTCTACAACTTCCACCAAAGCACAGAGGAGGCCGGGGATTTCCTGGTGGATGCCGACCTGCAGCGCCGTGCATCAGAGTACCTGATTGACAGCTCCCTCTATCTGCACATTGTAATAAAACCTCTCTACCACACTCTCATTGTTGCCAGGAAGTAAAAGGCAGAAATTTGGTGTGGCCTTATCATCAGCTATACACCCTCCACGCACACAATCACATGCATATTCCAAAGTTAACTCGTCTCATAGCACGTTTATGCATCCAGTCTGTGACATCTCTATTTAGTTAGGAGCTGTTTGCAACAATGAAAGACTCGCAATTTAATGGCTCAGCAGTGACTATCACAATGATGATGGTTGGTTTTCGAGTATTTCATGCATACTAAGAAAAAAAGAAGAAAAAAAACAACTTTATTGTACTGTATTTGTTCAGGTATTCTGTAGTCCAGCAGTTTGTTCCTTGAATGTATTGTGATGGTTGTTGTTGTTTGCATAGGTACTATAGGGGTTTGTTGTTATGATTTTTATGCATTTCACTATCCAGCAGTCAAATATAGATTTTTAGTTCATGACACCTATATCCTGTGACATACACCGATATACTTGTTTGTTGTTTACATACCAAAAATGCATAAATTGAAGTGCAATCCCATTGTCAGTGTTCCTTTGTATGCTGTCGCTGAATTGCAAGACAGTGAGTCCTTTAGTATTTTTTTTTCTTATTTATCGTTGTACATGCGTTTTATTTAGCTTTAAAATAAACTACCCAAGTATGTGATTTTCATCCTTATACAAAAAAAAGATTAATAAAAGACAAAAACATAAAAAAAAAAATGTGTCTGTGTTGGTCTATTTTGGATTTACAAAAATAAACTTTATAGAACCAGCATTAATATGATCTTACTTTAGAAAGAAAAGTGCTCCCACTTAGAACTACACATCCCACGGTGCTTAGCACGAGGCCGGAAATACGTCATTACGTCGTTGAAACCTTCAGCTGTCAGACTTTGGCCACCCTAAAAGTGCAGGTTTTGTTAGCAAACTAACTCGAACTGTACAACCCGCGCCGACTTTCTTTAAAGTTGTGCATTCATCTGCTTTTCGATCTTTGAACGCGCGAGCTGGTGATTGAAGCGCAAAGATTGCACGAAGACGAACCGTTTAGTTTTAATCGCTGCTAGTTTTTTGCACAAGCCAGCGATCCTGAGCGGGTGTAAGGCTAGATGCAGGGAGGGAGGGAGTAAAAAAAGGCAAAAGTCTTTGTGCTTCCCTTCCCCCTCATCAAAGCAAAAGGGAAATGTCTCTGTCCAAAGGAGGTAAGTGGCTTATTTTTTTCCAAATCTTTTTTTAAAAACAACCGTGCATATATTTTAAATATCGAGGCGCAGTTTGCGTGGAAGTAATTTAGCTAGCGGTGTTTGAACAATGTAACCTTGCCAGGTGGAAAAGCTGCATGTATGAGAGGAGGAGAAAAAAAAAGAGAAGCTAGCCAGCATGTCTTTCGTGCTTTCTATCATTATGCGAAGTCTCTAGACACACTGAAGGTATTCATCATAGACTCAATGATAGCGTGCGACATTATATTTGTTGTTATTCAAATTTTAGCTAAATGCTACAGTCGCGTCCCCGTTCAGGCTCCCGTGTTGTGGTTATGCTAACGCATAATTTTCACGACAATTAAGGAGTTTTGCCAAGCTGTAATTATCACGCAACTTTTCCCCTCAGCTCGGAATCACTGGGACTAGTTTCTCTCTTCGGGTGAAGTGAAGCACATTGGGACCACAGGTGTTTTCCAGCCTCCTGACTCGCGACTGATTGTGCTTCCGTCCATTTGGTTTGGCCGATGTGTACGCTCTAAAATATTTAGCTGTGCATTTTTTAAATTTTTTTTATATTTCCCGGTTGTGGAAAGTACTTTTATTTATTTTTTTTAAAACAGGCGGTGATGCAAAGGAACCATGGCGCTATCACACCCTTGTGCTTCCGCCAGCCAGCGAGTCTGTGCGGTGTAATCACTGGTGGCGTTACACGGTTGAATAATATGCAGAACTTGGAAAAATCAAGGTCCTTCCTCTGCAACACACGCACGCACACACAGCATGATGATGATGATGATGATGATGATGTCAATTTACATTTCAAGTTCACCGCTTGTGCTGTTACACAATCATACTAGCGTTACCATGGTCGGGAGTACACACTGTTTTGAGAGGGCTGGCAGTAGATTGGCTGGGTGCTGCCCAGGCACACAGCCTTCGGCCTACCATGGCATGTTTTGACTTGCAGCACCAATTGCAGCCTCTCTTTTGTTGACAGTTCACTGGCTGCAAGCAGATCCTCTATAGCTGCTACACAGGTTCTGTGCTGTAAATTATTATTGTGTGCAGGCCTGATGTGGCTTTCTTTTTGTGAAATTTAAAATTTTTTTGGCCTTTTTCTTTTCTTTTTTTTTTTTACAAGGAGTTGTGCCTTCAGTGGGTCTGAGTGCATTGCAGGGCTGCTCACTGTATTGCTGAGGCATGTTGGGAGATTGGGTTCTCCCGAACGCCAGTGATAGGGTTGTGTGGAAGATTATATGTGCATGAGTCATCCTTTTTCTGTACATGGACCCACTCTGAGAGCCGGAGCTTCCTGATGGTGACTCGCTGCGCAGCTATTGATACTTTGATCTCATGCACAATCCAGACATTCTTGTTCGCATGACGTACTGCGCTCTGGATAGTTTCCTCTGGCCATCTTTTTGGTTTCCAGAAATTACTGCATTTCCTTTTTTTTTTTTTTTTTTTTTTTAGTAGCAGCCACCAACTGGCTGCTACTGCCTGTAACAGCTGATACTGTTCACTCTTACTGAATGAGCTAAAATATTGATTTGACGAAGAGGCAATGCTCAAAATTTATAAATGCTAAAGCTTAATAAATCTCTTCCTATGGGAAGAAAAATGTGTTTTTTGTATAAAATGCAGAATGTAACTTGTGCTATGTTTAGTTTTAAAAAACACGGTTTCTGTGCACTTATTGATGTTGAATTCATGATACAGCATGAATACAAGCAAGCACAGGGAATGGTATCTCTGTGTGTTTCTGCTGTGCTGCGTTTAATATACTTTGAGTGCAGCAGAAGCCGATGTAATTGCACTATTGTGCGTTGAGTTCGAGGACCAGGCAGATCTTGCAGCAGAAAGCTGGATAGTGAGCCGCAAGCGGGCCAAGTGAAGTGACATCATTTCTCCCAAACGGTCCTGACAGTTGTTGAGTTTTAAAGCGGATGTGTCCAGTCTGACTGGCTGTGAGTCATATCCCACAAAACACTCCCAGCTACAGGGTCACTGCACACACACACACACACACACACACACACACACACACACACACTGCTACCTGAGAGGAGCTAGTATTTCAACTCCATTAATGTGTCAAAGTGAATATGTCGAGCAATAACTCAGAGCTAGAAACTGTAAAACCTGCATGTCTGCAGTATGATTTTAGTATTTTTAGGTGTCTCGAACAGCTTTGCTTATCAGACGTTCTTGCGGTGCCACGCGCGTGTGCTCCACTAATTTTGGTCGTTGGAACAAAAGAGCTGTCTTATTAGTCAGGTCACTGGAAGGCTTTGGGTGCTCGTACTTTATCCCACGCATAGGAAACACAAAATCTATTTTTGACACCGAGCATGTGTGAGTAAATCACACTTCAATCTCGCCTGACCACATGAGACGACGCTGTCTGTCCAGACACTGTGGGGCTATTTTAGGGCGGCAGCACAAAATGTACCTGTCTGACGTTTCCATAGAATCTAAAATCTTTGTGAAACTTCACTTCCCTTCCAGCTTAATCTAGCAAGGAGGGGTTTGCCCAGTCGTACTTCCTCCACACTAGAGTATTGTGAGTCACTCGATGGCAAACACAACCTCTCAGTAATAATGAGAGCTGTTGCATTTGTTCCAAAAATGAAGGCGCTTGTGCATTAAACCAGTTTCTGTGAACTGGTGTAGAATAATTGCTCAGCGGGCCCTTGGAACAGGAAATAAGCAGCCAGGTCTAAACAGTTTCTCATCATATTCCAGTGGGTTAAGCTGTGGCTGAGTCCTAGCACGCACGCACACACACAGATAAAGGTCAACAAAAGTTTTCTGTTTTCCCCCCTCGACCTTGCAACAAGAGCGGACATGCTGAACACGAGTGTCAGTGTTGAGTTGGTGTTCCTTGCCTCTCGTAGGCCCGGTAGCGGTGTCATTCTGGCAGCGACTCGTGGCTCCTTGTGGGACGTCCCAGAGGCTGCTGGTAAACTGTGTTTATGAATGGACTGCTGTCACTGATTTAACACAGACTGGTCCCAGAGCTGCACGATTTACAGCACCGTACTCCAGATATGAACAACATGTGAGCTAAACTTGAGATTAGGAAATGAGAGACAAAATGGGGGGAACAAATGCATTGATAGTTGAGTTGATGACAGTTATCACAAAATTAAAAAAATTCCCTGCACCCCTCCCTTCCATTTGAGTCATCATACTAATGTCGATTAGTCATTTGGTCCACCTTCTCCCTGTTGCAGGGCCTCCGCTCTGAGCACACCTAATCTCCAGATAGATAACCGATCATTTGTTGCCGTTTGTATCAAAGGCAACTGGAAATTGATTGTAACCTCGAAACCCCTTCCTACCAGAGTGGATGAAAATCCCCTTTCATCAGACCGATGTGGATATTTAAAAACAAGCAAAGTCCATTTAGTTCGCACTCAACGGCCTGATTTAGGACTCTGGGGTCTCTGTTGTGGCAAACCTCGCTCTAGTCTCCGAGTAATGTGGAAAACGGGCTCGTAAGAGTCTGTAGCTGTGACGTCTATTTGCCTTAGTCTTTCTACAAACCACTTATAATCACACTGGCTTGTGGTTGCTGCTAAATACAGCTTTATTGATCCCGGTATGCTACGATGGAGCTGAGGTGGTAATTGTTTTTCTGATTTCCTGTCTCCAAGGGAAGAAGAAGAACCCTGGGCTGAAGCTGGCCAAAGAAGTCTTTGCACAGCCCCCACCAGCAGCAGCAGCGTAAGGCTCTTTTTATTTATTTTTATTTTTTACAGTGGGGTAGTGACGGCAGCAATACCATCCTGAGAGGGTCTCAAATTCAGACCTAGCATGCTAAAATGGCCGGGACAATAAATCAATCCTTTAGCTCATTGCAGCTATATCGTAAGAAAGACATACAGAAATGTAGCACTGACAATGTTTGTTTCAAATTAATCTTTCATATTGCACTGATAAACATGTGCATTTTCTCTTACAGTGTGAGTATTTCATAGCTGAGCATTGTGACATTCACACTGTTGCTTGTGCTTAATGTTGCTCTCTCCCCCTGCAGGCCCCCTCGAGATCTTGACTCGAAAGCTTGCGTCACGATTGGAGATCAGGTGAAGATGGCTCCGTATTCCTCTGACACACGCTGCTCTGTTTCCTGAACACACACATTTAATGCGTCTTCCTCACTGTCCAGAACTTTGTGGTGAAGGCCGATGACTTGGAGCAGATTGAGGAGCTGGGCAGGGGAGCGTACGGGGTCGTGGACAAGATGAAACATGTGCCCAGTGGTGTTATCATGGCTGTCAAGGTGGGCTTCTACTCGGGTTACCTGTTCTGCAAATAGCACCGTGACTCATAGATGCATTCGACATGTGAGCTCAACATGTGGACATTTGGACGAGATCTATCGGATATATGACATGTTGTATTGAGGTGGCGGGCGGGGGGGGGGGGGGGGGGTTTAGGACACTGGACTCTATTTGATTTAAGGTACATCTGCCCCGCTGCTGACACCGCCGGCCCAATCTGTGATGTTTGTGTCCCCAGAGGATTCGTGCCACCGTGAACACTCTTGAGCAGAAGAGGCTTCTGATGGACTTGGACATTTCCATGAGGACCGTGGACTGCTTCTTCACTGTGACCTTCTACGGGGCCCTCTTCAGAGAGGTGAGTAAACTATGACTAGTGTGAACTCCTGCGTATGTTACGTTGAGTGTAGAGTGATCATCTTGTTGTTTTTCCAGGGGGATGTTTGGATCTGTATGGAGCTGATGGACATGTCTCTGGATAAGTTCTATAAGAAGGTTACTGAGAAAGGCAAAAACATCCCCGAGGACATCTTGGGCAAGATCGCAGTAGCAGTACGTCCCGTCTCATATTTTACATTCTTATTATTATACATGTACATTTAAAGGAGCAGTACAACACACAAGTCCAAATGTTCCGAGGGCAAGTCGATAAATGGGAAATTCTGCAGTTCTATTCTCTCTCCACAGATTGTCAAGGCATTAGAGCATCTGCACAGTAACCTGTCAGTGATACACAGAGGTAATCAGATCATCATCATCATCATGTTCACAGTTCAGTTTCCTGTTGTTTGTCATTGTTGTCTTGCCGTGTTCTCTCTCTCTCTCTCTCTCTCTCTCTCTCTCTCTCTCTCTCTCTCT